TCGAATTTACAATTAGATATGCAGGTTCTATCATTAATTAGAATAAAAAATATTAGGGAAAAGTAAATAAATACGTAAAAATTATTTATTAAAAAAAAATTAGCAGAAAAAATTTATAATCTAATAGGATAGCAAATGAAAAATAATTAGGCTAAAAATTCATTTAAAATTTACTATAAAATATATAACGTATTGTTTGATTTTCAAAAAAATAAATATACTTGATTTAGAAATAAAATTTACGAATTAATATTTAGTTTATAATTTTTGAAATATAAGTTTAATATAGTTTGATTGTACCTGAATTGCTCATTATTCCTATAATTTCTATCTTATCGCCCTTACGAATATCAAGTTTGAAATAATCGTCTTCATTAAAGTTAATTACGTGAATTTCAAGTTTGAAATTTCCATCCGTAATAGACCCACAACCAATTTTTTTGTTTAGTTTGCTATTATATACGCTACTTAAATTTGTTTTAATATATCCTTCTAAATCTAGGAAATATATGTTATTTTGAATCGTACAACAGAAAATAATAAAGAAGTTAAGATATAATATGATAATAATTGAAAATACCATATAAATAATAAATGTATTCTTACTAATGCGGTTAGATGAACTAAACGCGTCACAAAGTCTGACTTTATCAATTTGAGTATTTATTTTAGTACATTCAAATTTACCCAAAGTGGAAATTATTGTATTAGTTAAAATTTGGAGTTCAAAGGATACATTTCCTGTATTATAAAGGGTATTTTTTGGTGGTCTAGCCTGAACACCATCGAGGTATATAATCTATCCGTGGAATATTGAAATTAATATAATAAAATTTTAAAAATAAACATATCAAATTGTAACGGGTGATTTATAGGTAACAAAAAGCAGGTCTCGCGAAAATCTGGAATTTCGCTATTATAAAACTGTATTATATTTTACACAAATTTTAGATAACTTACAGAATTACTGAGTATATATTTTTCAACAATATCAATATTATCGTTCCATGCAGTAATTTGTATACGCTTGCCATTACCATTATTTAGAACTAAATTTGAAAAATTTATATTGATTATTATTTCCAACTAATCGTGGA